GATGGGAAAGCTGGCAAATTGTATTTTAGTAAAAAAAATGGTACATTAAGAAGGTGTTTCATACGTTCAATATGTTGAATGCAAAGGATGTTAGTATTATCTTGGTTGCCTACTTTAAATTATCATCTGGCTTTTGTCATCAATCAAATGAAGGCATAGATCATGTCTCAAGTTCATTATTCCATGGTGCTATTGACCTATGATGAGGCACTGAGGAGGTGTAGTGTTGGCGTCAAAGCGCCACCTGGACGGAATTTTTTCGGGTTATGTGGATTTTATGATTTCTTCTTCAACTTTAACTCCAAAAGAGGCTCCTATATATGTTCCACATGATTTTATGTCTACATTACATTCGACTACATCCTGAAATCTAAAAAGCGTAGATTCTCTATTGAGAATATTGACATCTTGATATTGTAAACACATTCATTATTGATTATAGTGAAATACTCCTCCTTTGCTTGTCATTTTTTATCATTTTGAATTTCTACATAAACCTTGGTGTTCTTATTTTATTCTTGTTTATTTCATTATTATCATTATCTTGCAATCAATTCATAACAAATTGAAAGACTAGGGATATGTCAAATATGTAAACGTTAGGGGTATTGTGCCATGTGGGTTTATAATTGGGCAGGAGATCATATTTGTTGTGCCATAATAAGGTATATGGGTTCGTTTATTTTCATCTCAGAAACACTATTGTCATAATAATGATTAAAAACAGTCCTTGAGTTAGTATAATTACACTTGTTGCCTCAGAATAATTTATTCTCCAAAAAAAAAAAAAATTGCTTTTTTCATGTACATTTCAAACACAAGAATATATGGAATTCTACCTATTTTTAACTCTTGTAATAGATTTCATTCAAATCATGTCATTCTTTTAATTTTTAAATGCCTATTTAAGTTGATCTTCTTTTAATGTATTCTTATTAATGTTATCAAAATCAAACTAGCTCGGGAGATTCGATCGGATAAAATTGTGAACCGGCCCAGCCATCGATTTGATTATAGACTAGCTACTGGAAATATAGAAACAAACAAAAAGTCGGTAAAATGATCGGTTTAACCAGAAACCAGTGAACTGCACATGATTTTATCCAGCTTTTCCGATTTGCTTGATAATAAAAAAAGAGCCACGGAAAAAGGATTTGCTAAAGATGCTTCTCAAATTTGCCTAAATTATTTCAAAGATCATCGATCAATTCATAGGCACATATATGTGGAAGAACCTATTGAAAAGGAATGAAAAGGAAGAAGCGACCTAGAACAAAGGAGAAAGAATACGCTGTTTGTAAAAAAAAAAAAATTGATAAGAAACAAAAGTCTTTGGCGTAAATTTTTCGGAAAAAAATCATATCTCGACTATTAAGAGCCTGTTTGAGAGTGATTTTTCCCTCCAAAAAAAATGATTTTTTTACCGTTATTCACTATTCCAATCGTCATATTTGACTTCTTCTCTTACAGGTGAACTCCACTTTTCTCATAACAGTCAAAAAATCAATTCTTAAAATCACTCACAAACAGACTCTAAGTATGCAACAAAGCAATTCTCGGATATTAAGTTTCAAAATTCAAAAATTAGATATCTTTATATATAGAGGTCGAAATTTATTGATTACAATTTAATTGGTCACAAATTATCAAATTAATTAGTTGCAAATTGTCGAATAAATTAGTCACAAATTATTTCATGATCACAAATCAAAAATTTTATAGGTCACAATTTATTGATCCATCACAAATAAAAAAAAATCATATATCACAATTTATTTATCGATGACAAATAACTAATTTTATAGGTCACAACTTAATTCATGATCACAAACTATTAAATTAATTGATCACATACTGTTTCTCAATCACAAATTATCAAATTAGTTGGTCACTAATATTTTTCAATAATAAATCGTCAAATTATTTGATTACAACTCACCAAATTCTCGTCACAATTCCAAATTTAGTCTCAATCACACATTATTTTAGATCATAATAATTGGTCACAACACTCGAATAATAGGTCACACTCTTCCTTCCCACTCCACCGTAGCCACACCAACTCAACATCACTGTCAGTAGCACCACCACCTTACTGATATTACACACGTCACTGCTATCACCCCACAACTACAAAATCACCACCACATCCATAGCAACCTCAAAATCACCACTACAGCAACCACAACACCTCCACACACCACAACAATCGTAAAAAAAATCACTACAGCAAACACCAACCACACAAACCATCATAAACAACAGAAATCAAACTTCAAAAAAAGAAAAAGAAAAAAGGGAATAATAGATTGGCACAACTGTGGATCAACCACGGTCACATTAAAAGCAACGACGATTGCAGTACGACCATTTGCAAGTTGAATCAAACCGCAACAAACAACAATAACGTCTTTTTTTCCAAATCATCTTTTGTTTCTACTTGTAGTGATGGGCATGATGTCGCCGCAGAGGTGCAGGTGTAGCATCAAAGCATCTATTGCACGGTGAATAGTCACCAAAGTGGGTGCATCGTGCATTTTTTATGGATGTTATAACTTTTCAACCACATATTTCAAAAAGTTGTATAAAAATCTATAAAATATCTAATTTAATTCCCACTAAACATGGGCTAAATTTATTTAATTTTATAATAATATTATTATTATATATTATTTTCCTAATTTTTGTTTAATTAAACTTTTCATCTATTTAAGAATAGTGATCTTTAAAATCGTGATGGGATGTAATTTCAAATAAATTTTTAGGTTTATTAACCATGTTGGGCCTCTATTTTTTATGTAGGGTTATGACTTTTTAAGCCCATTTAGTTTTAATATGACCAAACGGTTAGGAAAGAAAAAAAGGAAAATAAGTTAAAAAATGTTTAAAAACTTAAAATAATTTCAAACTCAATATTAATTTTCTAGAAATTATATATCTATATAAAAACGTAAATGTTTTAAATAATACATATCTACCTAAAATTTTATTTATTTAATTACTTTAATATCTGAGTCAATCCATGTTGAAACTCGATTTGACCCATTGACCCTAGACCCCCTTTATTCTCATTTGTTGTTTATTTATTTTTTTAACTTAAATTTATATGTTTGTTCTAATTACGTAAAGTCGCTTCAATTAACACTTCATAGAATTCTCTTTGAGAAAGTGGAAAATATGAAGGGGAATTGGCTGCTTTACTACGAGAATTATTCTCCCATGTGGCCCTGGGCTCTAAGAGAATTATTTTTCTTTATTCGAGTTCACAAATAAATAAATGTAATGAAATTACATTATGAAATATTAGTTTCCGACAAATAATCTGTATTAAGCTAACTTTTTTTCCTCAATTATTTGTTACGTGCATATATAAAGTTATTATTTCGATTATTATATAGACACACACACACATATATATGATAATAGCAAAAATTGTCATGTTTTCATCCATTTATACTTGCTTTATCTTGATAAATTGACATCTAAATGCCCTAAGTACCCTTATATTTTGATTTAGGTGCAAATAGATGGATACATGTGGAAGTTAGAAGAAAAGAACGAAAAAGGACTAAAGTGAAAGTTTAACAACCAAGTTGCAAATAATTTAAAGATGAGACGGTCGATAGAATGATTATTCAAGAAAACTAGGAGTCCATTGAGTGCAATTAGAAGTCAAAAGAAGTTAAATATGACCATAATATTTTCACAAATCAAATTCCGACCGCATAAGGATTTTCTAGATTTTTAGCCAGAAATTGAGATCCACTTTTGACATAGTAAACGTTCAAATTTGGAAAGAGCTATTCTAGAAAAATTGTAGCCCTTTGTGTTAACTTTCTAACACACTTTGAATTGCCTTAATTGGACATTGGGAGAGAAAGTTATGGCCAAAATACTGAAAGTAGTTGCACAGAAAAATTTTTGGTCGAATCTTCCTTATTCTGTTCAACCTCTTTTGGAAACAATTTGGCACTCGATTTTAAACCCTAATTCGACCAGAACACGCCCTTATCATCTCCTATCTCTTTTCTCTCATCTTGGGCTTAAGAACTCCATGGAAGGCTAAAAACTTTGGTAAAGCCACAAAAGATCTCGATCTGATTTGGGGATTTTAACAACTCTTCGTTCATGTAACATACTTTTCATTGTCGAATAATTTTGGGATTTAGATTTCTACCTTATTATACTTCTAAAGTTTGTTTAGCTTTTATTAGATTGTTCATGGATTCAATTATGTTTTTTTCATTGAATAACGAAAATGTTTGTTGGATTTAAACTTCAATTGATTTATTGATGTAATTTGATTACTGTTTTATGCTTTAGGTATATAATCGTTTCTTGAATTGTATTTCAATAAATCAAAGCAGAATATGTTCTTAGGAAGCCTAAATTTTAGAATTATAAGTAAAATTAAATTGATCTAGATTTTTCATCATGAATTGGTTTTGAAAGTGGTTTAATTCTTATTAATTTTTTCATAGAATTAGTCATGCTCTTTTTATAGTTTGATCGAATATTTATTAAATTCCAATTTCAATTAATCTCATTGATGTGATTCCTTACCGCCTTCTGCTTAGTGTATATGGTCGCTTTTGAATCTGATTCCAATAGATTAATGTGGAAATATGTTAGAGGAACCTAGATTTTTGAGTAAGATGCATGAATAATTGGTGTTGATTGATCCAATCCGGGTGAGTGAATTCTGATGCTTTACTAATCTCACACTTTGATATTTAAATTTCATTTAAATTGATAAATTTCTCTCACAACCACAGAAACCTTAGTTAGTCAAATCATTTAAACAATTCTTCCATATCCCTGTGGAATTGACACTCCAATTTGCTATAACTACTGCATTATTCTTCGGACGTAATCAACACACACACTCTTGTTTGATGCACGCTTGCTCGATCGAAATGGACGGCAAAATGGTTCAAAATATTGTAGAACACTTTGCCAAACAAGCCACGTATTTCTTTCTAAAACTGAAATAGAAGATCTTCTGGAAAAGTGGACTCCATAACTGAAATGTTGAACAAGAAAAAAAAGCTAAAATCTTATCCATTTCGCATATGGACAGCAAAATCCCATACAAATATACGCAACCAGAACTACTAGTTATATACAACATTTAAGAAGTCTTGAAAGTATCTCCGTCGTTATTCCTTATTTTCCTTACAAATACATACAAGGGTGTTTCGACTTCAAGCACCATGCTCCTCTGTACGATTCGCAGATTGTAAAAGGGTCGGGAATCAGCACGCCCGTGCTTCTGTCATCTGCCTTGCGACAAATCCACAACCACCTGAAACTTTTAGAGATGCGAAGAGGCAGGACAACCTAGCCATCATGGGATTAGTCCTCGGCATTCTGGGCACAATTGCAAGCTCCTTACCAGAATCATTGATAAAAGGGTACCCTTCCAGATCTGCTTTCGTAATAATTACAGCGTCTCCCGAGGGACAGATAAAACGAGACGACATCCGCTGCTGCTTATATTCTTGGACTGCCTGGAAAGAAGATGAAGTCATGAACAGAAACCTTGAAAAACTAACTCCTTATCCAGTATACAAATAGTTTGGAATTTAGTTAGATCCTAAATGAAATTTTAATTTGTAAACTGGTAGACTTTCTGTGCTCACCTTCCATTGGGAAGGAGCTAAGAGAACCCTGGGTCTTCTAGCACGAACATATTCAAACGCAGCAACGGGGCTCATATTCTTATATTCAACCTGTATATCAACCCAGTTCACCAATTGTGCCAAACCAAAAATAGATGGAAGTTAAATTGCTGTGTAACATAAAGTTATAAGTCCATTTCAGAAAGAGGTACAGCACCAGATAGCAGAGCACAATGGTTGTGCTTCGTCCCCTCCCAGCTTTGCAGTGGACATATGTTGTTCGACCGCTGCAAGAATTCTCTGTAACCAGAAAGAGAAGGAAATAATTAAAGATGAAGTACTAAAACAACATCATACTTTACAAATATAGAACGAGACAACATTGAAGATTACCTACCATGGATAAAATCTACCGCTCGGTTGATATCAGCAAATGAAGGAGCAAAGAGATAATCCCTAGTTGGAATCACTAGATGGTCGATCTCATGAGCCTAGGAACAATAAAGTAAGAGCAATTTTAGGGTAAAGTGACAACAAACTAAATCGATCATTTGCATATGTTTTGAGGGTGATTTATGTAATGCTTTTTCCAACGTAAAAATTCATTTGTTCAAGGAAACAAATGTACACCCTCAAAGAGGACCATTCCTTGTCTAAATAAGTGCAGTCCATTAAGCACAAAGGGAACAGGGATGGCAAAATGCCATCCTGGCCCAACCCTAAACACTCTGGGTCACCAAATAACTGGGGGAATGCTTGCCCCATTCAAGGCGGGGCTTTACATTTTGCCATCCCTATATGTAACAGTATTTATCATTATTCTTTTAAATTATTCTGCACTTTCTCATGATATATCACTGCAGAATATTTCATTTATCCAAAGCACCACAAACACGACTTCAACATGAACCATAGGTACAAAATCATCATTATTTATTATCTACCCAAATAACTTCAGAGGTAAAGATAAGTAGAATGAAATCTACAGAGGTACTCACCATTTCAACAAGAATATAGGTAAAGCAAAAATTATATATCTATAGATGCCAGAACACAGACACAGAAAAAAGAGAATAGCATGATTAAAACATACAATGGAGTGCCAAAAGTAAGTTTACTTGAGAAAACTTAATCAGTTGGAATAGGTCCCAACATGCCATCTAACAGTTTGAGCTTGAAAGGCAAATTAAAATACTCCCAAAGCAAACCAGCCTTTTCAGATATACGTTGCACGATCATTCCAAATAATCTACCAAATGTGCATGGATTTAGATCACATGTTGATGCCTGAAACCACTGTATAGAATTGCTGGGGAAAAAAATAAAATAAAATTTACAGATACCAAGCTTCAGCTGAAACTAAATTAATTGGTCATCTAAGGATAAAAAGAACACCATGCACCTGTGCACCACATTCACACATCAATTTTGCATGCAGTCAATAAACACCAATATCATCAAATCTTACCACCATAAGAACCAAAATTGATTTACGAAGAGAAAATACCAACTACAAAGAAGAACATCACTGGTGATAATATACTGAAAAATTTTGTATACTGAAAAATTTTTGAAGGACAAAATTTTTCAGTTTTAATCCAGAATAATAACGTAGATGATGATAGTATCCAACACCAGGAAGAGAAAACAATGTCTAATATCTAATTACTTACATGGTACAAAGATGTCGATACCAAAGTTTCATAGGGCTCGTTAAGAGTAATCACAGCTCCAACTCCAAGCTGCTTAAGCCGAGGCACATCCTTTGGAAACGGAACAGCTCCCAACAAGAGAAACTGCATAAACATATAATGAATTGAGAAGAGTAGCAATCAAACCCTTTTTCCTCACTTCTATAGCATAGTACAGCAAACAAGGTTATAATCAGATTAAGAACATATCCAAACATCCACTGCCTCAACTTTATTAGACTTATTTGCAAGGTCTAAAAATAAATTCAGTTCAAATTATAGATCAAAAGTGGTAGCTTTCTAACATGATATGTTAAATTTACTTGACATCAGCATTGGGTGTGATGGGAATTGACGATGAGGGAGGCACTGAATATAACATCAAAAGTGTTTTTTTTTTAAGAAATACAACATTCTTCTGCAAGCAGTTGTTTGAGTTCTTCAAATTCGATGGACAATCTAATTTATGTTAACTTTACCCATTTCATCATGAAAAATGTGTTTTTAAGCTTTCCATTTGTTCTTGAAAAATGTAAATAAATACGCGTATTTTTCCACTATCCCTTAAATTGCAACTTAGATGAGTAAAATTTGATTCGCTGCAACTATACCACATGCGTAACAGGCTAATTATTCTGCCTTCCATCCTATATTGATACTTTCTTGTATTTTGCACACACACGAAGACAAGAAAATCCCAAACACTAAAATTAGAAATTAATAGAGAAGCACTGATGAATAAATAATAAATACAGTCTAAACATAGCAAATTAGTGTCATGCCCTATACCTGATCGATCTGATCCCACCATCTGAATTCAGCTTGAACCTTATTGCGAAAGACGTTGTACAAAAGGGTCGGGTAGAATAAGATCCGAGCCCCAGCTCCGACTAGAGCTCTTTTAGCATCCACCCGAACTGTAATCAGCCTTCTTTCTTGATCCTCTTCACTATTCTTACTGCAATTGGTATCAAGACTACAATCGATCGGTTCATCCAGTTGCTCAATCTTCATCGCGATCGATATTAAAAATCGCAAAAACCACAAAATCCAACTAAATTGATTTGATTAAGTCAAAACTACTAAGAAATTGAAGAAAATGAAATAAAAACCTAATCAGCACAATCTATGAACCAAGCCCTGAAATTTCCATTGGAGATAGTCAAACTCAATCGATCTATGCCATGATTGGAAAATTAATTGATTATATATCGGTGATTAATGAAACTTAAAGTGCAGTAAGAATTGGGAAGCAAAATAGTTATGAGATTAGAGTAAACTATCGATCATCGAGAGTAGATTGCATAGTGACAGCATTTTGGAGAGGAAATTGTGAACAAAAACGTAAGTTTGATGAATGGAGAAGGCCAAGGGAATCGAAAGTCAAATACTTGCCTTTCCTTTCCGTTTATCTAATTTTATTTATTTATTTATTTTTTCTATGAACTATGTTTGGCTTAGCTTATAATAATGAAAATAATTTTTACATTGTTCATAAACATGTATAATTTAAATTTGGGTGAAACTGTCACTTTTATTAAAACTAGGTAATTTATGTATATTCAAATATTGACAAATAAAAACGTTAATTATTATATTTACTTATAATTAAACTTTTGAGGCTTAGGCAAACACGAAGCCTTCGAAAGAATAGCGGGTGAAGTTTCTTCAATAACCTTAACTCTTAAGTAAGTATGAGGACTTTTTATTGAAAAATTATGACTCGAATCATCAATGTTTTATAAAAATAAATAAGTAGGTCTCCAACTTTTCATTTTTAGCACTTCAATCCTCAACATTTCACATTTATAACAATGAAGTCTCTAGCAAACTATTTAAGATTGCTTTTAATTATACAAATAAATGAAAGATATGTAAAAAGGAAAAATGAAAGGGTTAATTTGATTAGTGTTCATTATATTTTCACCTTAATATTAATTAGGTTGTTATACTTTCATTTGTATAATCGTCACCGTCTCTTCATTATCTCCTCAATGAAATCCATCCTTGCCTTCGGAATGTCTTTAGAATCGCTTATCCAATTATTTAGTCGTTAATTCTAATGCTCATTCTATCAGGCAAGTGAATGATTATATTGTTGATTAAATTCAAGTATAAATAAGAATATATAAATTGAGGCTTGTATATCAGTCGAGATTTTGGTTATTTTCTTATAAAAAAAAAATCTTGATTTTGAATCATTATTCTGAAAAGCGTAAAACATGTTTAGTGGCAAGATCAATTTTCAAGCTTTTATGAGCCTAATCATATATAGGTATAAAAAAATGTAAAGCTTGGTTAGACAGTAAAGTCAAATTTTGCGCTTGGCCGAAGTTTACATTCTTGAATGAGAATTATCTCCTTGACTTTGCAAAATCTTCTCGATCTTATTTTTAACTTTCAATTAATAACATATTTTGTAACTGATAACAGATATCGCTCCAAAATGTTCAACTAGTGTGGGAAAAATATTTTTTTTTCAAATTGTTGTATTAATTGTTTATCTTGCTTATTTAAAAATATGAAAGCCAAATAAATAAATCTTTTTTATTCCCTCCCAATGAATTTTTTTTTTTTTTTTTTTTTTTTTGTCATCATCAAAGATAAAATGTGCTAATTAATAAGAAATTTGAGAACAAAAATCGGACGGAAAAAGTTAGGGATATAAATTTTAAAATGAACAAATCATAGAACCTTCATTGCAGTTTAAATGTGGTGCCCATTAACAAAAATTATTGTGCGAACCCTAATAATAATAATAATAATAATGAAACTTCTAGATAAATTAGGAGTATTTTCAAATTCTTTAGTGGAAAGGGTTGAATTATTCTCTAACCATTTCAATTCTCAATTGCAAGTAGAGAATAAATATTGTGGACTGAAAATAATTCTTATAGAGTAATAACCTAGCGAAGTCCTAATTCTTGTTTTATTTTAATATATTTTCTGTACAAAATATAAATAGGCGAGTTTCAATTAAATTCGTCCATATTAAGAAGTTAACTTGAACCACAAGTGCTAACTCTCAATTAGAATCGAGTAGTCACTCTCTTAAAAACCTCTATTATTGGAGTTGGTACATATCAATCGCTTTAATTTTATAGCTTTTAGGGTTGACATTGTCTTCTTCTTCTTGTTTTTCTAATTTTTCTTTTTTTCATTTTAATTTAGGATATATGAGAACAATTTTTTGTATATGCCTAATTCCTTTTATATTTAATGATTTTAATAGTTGAGAATGTAAAACCAATTAAATATAGAAAACAAGTAATGAAAATTGAAAAACCAAATAAATATGGAAAACGAGTAAACAACCCATCTATCCAAACAATTAAGAGTAGAGATGGATCAGGCATGGTGCAGTTCGGTTCCAGTTGAGAGAATCATGATCAAATCGAAAATCAATGGTTCTTTGATAATGAAATCATTTGGTTCCAATTGAAGGATGGAAATCAAATCAGAATTGGTTCCAATTTGGTTGGATTCGATCCCAAAACCAAACTTTTGAAAAAGAAGAGTTAAGTTTATGAAAAAGTAGAAAAAGGATTACTTGGGTCATCAGAAAATATTATTTTTTAACAAATTCTAAAAATTTTAAAAACTAAAAATAGTTTTACTTGTTCTAGTTCTAAATTCTGGATTGTGTTGGGTTTTTGTTACCTAATAAATATCGGGCTATGATGTTAATGTGAGTTAATTAGTTCATAGGCATAGGTCAATGAATGAAATAAGTCTAACAATCGAGTTCATGAGCTTCACCTGATCTAATTGTATTTACTTTTGGATGACTTGAATTTTCGCATGTTTACTTCCCTTTTGGTTCAATTAAAAGCATAACCCTAGATTATATATAAGACTACAACCCTATCTATTTTCTAGTGTGGTTTGTGAAAAAAATAAGAGAAATTCGACTGCCCGCTTTGGTGTCTGAAAAACGGCCCCTAAAAGTGTCCAAAATACTTGTTTACTCTGTTTAATTGGTGGTTCATTCATAGCGTACTTTTGTAGTATTTTCTCCTTTCTTTTGTGGCCACAAATTATGATTGTTTCTTGTCCTTCATGAGTAAGATTGAATAGCAGCCGAGGTGAATTATATTGATTGTGGATCGGAGCCGATTGAATTGATTGTTAGTAGAGAACGGTATGTTAGATTGAACCCAAAAAACATCGAATTAAAGATCCTTGAAGAGAGATTCCGCAACATTTGGTATCATAGCTTCAAGGTGGTGGTTTTGGCTTGTGAAATACACCATAAAACGATCTGAAAAGAGGCAGAAACACAGCAGAAATCAGATCGAAGAAATTGTCCAAAAACTGTCAAAAATCAACCCCAAATTTCTTGTTTTCAGAGCAATTCAAAAGGAGTTTGGGAAAACGGAGACTACTGGTATAACATCTAAGTGGAGGCGGTCCCTGTGGTCAAGTGCGTGTGGTCGGTGGCATCGCGTAAAGCCCACGCGCAAAGAGGAAAGACGATGCGTGACGACACATGTGACCTTTTCTGGCTGAGGTCTCTTCAGGCAGTTTGTTCCTAACGATATTTATGACATTTTGGTGTTGTTAGTTTTGCTATTTCAGGTTGTGCAATAGAGTCTAGACGAAGTTGTTCTTTGGACCTTCGAGATTCGATCGTGGCTCGTTGATTGCCTCAGTTGCTAGAGGCTTTAGAACGAATAATGGTAGTCCTAAAGTGATAAATTCCCGTGTCTCATAATTTACGGACTCAGATTGGTCCGCTTTAGTATTATTAGTTTATCTCAGTTTAAATTTCGGCATTAGCGCGTCATCGTGTGAAATGACATTAGGTTTGTGGTTACCGTGAGGGGTAACATTACTTGTGCTAGAAATTTAAGAGTTATTTGTCATATTTGAAATGTTGGATTTAATTGTAAGTTAATAACTGCTTTTGTGTTTAATTTATTGCATTGCGTGAGAATTCGAACTTTTGTTTACATACCTTCGTGTTGTATTGATTATCATATTAGAACACCTAAGCTTGACCCGGTCGAACATTCCGTTGATCTAAGATCGTGAATCTTACGAAATCCTAAAAATTTAGAATGATGTATATATATCAGTCGTATGATAACTTTCTGTGACCTATTTGTGATTTGGTTGTTCTATTTTTCTTAAAAATATCTTCACACTTTAAAGTTGAAATTTTTAATGGAAAAGATAATATTTCAATTTGACAACAAAAGATGAAAGGTATTTTGGTCCAACAAAAATTTCAAAAGTCATAGATTACAAATTTCATGTAAACTTAACAGAAGCATAAAAGAAGAGTATGACGAACTTGCATACACTTCAATTATTTTACACTTATCTAATACTGTTTTGAGAAAAGTTGGAAAACTTAATTTTACAAAAGAACTTTATGAGAAGTTGGAGGACTCATATTTGCTTAAGTCCACTACTAATAAGCTGTACTTGCTTGAAGGATTTTTGAACTTTAAAATGGATTTTTCAAAGGATCTTGACGATAATCTGGATGTTTTTAACAAGTTTGTTCAAGACATCGTTAATTGTAATGAAAAGTTATCTAAAACATATAAGGCTATTATCTTACTTAATTCCATATTTGAGTCATAAAGAAGGGTTAAGAATGCAATAAAGTATGGTAGGGACACCTTAACACCTGAGATTGTCATATACTCATTTAAGAGTAAGGGGATGAAAACTAAGGCTGAAAAAGAGGATAAGAGGAGTGACGAGTTACATATGATGAGGAATATGATGAAATTTAAGCAAATGAATTTAGGTAGAACTCAAGACGGTAATGATTCAAGTAGTGACTTGAGTGATGATGATGGTAAGAAGAAAGGCAAGGGAAGATACAAGTCTAGTGGTAGACTGTGTTACAATTGTAGTAAGTCTAGATACTTTATTAGGGATTGTCCTAAGAAGAAAGATAAGCAGAAGGGTAAGATGAGAGGTGAGGCAAATTTTGCTTTAGGGTCGAGTGATGACTCTAGTGAGGATTATTGAGAATAAATCTAGCCCATGTTTGAGCCACATTATTGTAAAAATGAGAATAAAAAATATAGTTGTTATGAACCCCACACAAGAGATAAAAAGTTAAATATGGTGGCTTAATGTGATGGATAACAGTCATATTTTTTCATTTTAATGAGAAAATAATGGGGCTCAAACAGGGCCCTAATTATTGCATGTGCATCTGTGTATGATCCTTTCTGCATATGTGTGATTGTCTAAATTTTGTTGCATGATTATATACTATATTTCAATGTGTTTGATACGTGCATATGCATGAATTTGAGATAATATGATTATTTAGTGTAATTGCTTGTATGCATAATGGATTAGGATACATTAACAGTGTGTTGTGTATCTTTTGGTGATGTGGAGTATAGAAACTTAGGAGTACATTATGATTTGTACCGGGAATGTTGTGTGTAACATTTGAATCACGAGTGAAGATGTGATTAAATGTCTAGAATCTTTTATCTGTGAAGCGACCCTAATCGGTGAGACTGTATTGTTGCAAAAGAGAGAGAGAGAGAGAGAGGTAGCCAACTTGGAGGGTGAAAGGGAGGGCCGGTTTTGGTGTGAATGAAAGAGAGATTCAACCATTGTTTCTCCTTCCTCCATTTGTAACTTGCAAATACTACCACCAAGTGTCTCCTTTGTGGTGTTAAAACTAAGGCAACACCAAAGGTGTTGAGGGTTGTTGGGTCGAGTCGGTTGATTGGTATTCGTTTGATTGTTTTCTGAGCCCATAATCAATATTTATCGAGAGATTTTCGTGACAGATCCAAAACTAAAATTCTAACCAGCCTATTCTAGGTTCCAAAAACCAAAATAATTAAGAACATACTCAAAATCGAACTGAACCAATTAGTTTGGTTCAATTTTTTAATTTACCGTGTTCTTTTTATTTCATTAATTTGATCCTTTGTTAGGTATAAAGGCAAATAGTGTGGTCCACGCCATTGCCGAACATGAATTTTCTTCTCCTTTCGGTATTGTGGAGATAAGAGAGACTCCATTACTAATCTTGTATCTAGAGATATTTATTGAATGGTATTACATTTTACAATCAAAAAAATATAAAAAAGCTTCTCTTCCCCCATTTTCCTTCTCTTTTCCAAGGGATTTGAGAAGAACACCTAAATTGTGGGACAAAAGGAAGATGGCAGCCACCCAAATCCCAATTAGAGGTTAAAAGTGCACGCCTATGATGTCACTATCAACCGAATAACCTTTATTTTCGTGACATTTGCGCATGTATGAAACACATATTGGACCTCTTTTGCAATCATTTGCACTTACATTAGTTGAACCTCTATATATTTCCCAAGTTAGGTGAATCACATGAGCCATTATAATATTATAATTTTGGGAAGAAAAAGAAAAGCAACGAGGCTTTGAAAGCTGAAGTTTAATGTGTCAGTAAAGAAATGATTAATTGTGAGAACGCCGACATAACAACGAGAAATTTTTTCAAAAATAAGATTTCCCGTTAATGAAAGGTTTTGTGCATTTGTCCTAAGAATACTCTGACAAAACTAGTATCCGATGTGAACACAAAACTGACGAATGTGTTTTGACTGCAAAACTATGAATTTCTCTTGGTTTTGGTGCGAACTTAATGATCAAATCGATTACAATATTACGAATGGATAGATCTTATCGTCGTTCAATGCTTAAATTCTACATGTTGAACTTCGATAGAGTATATGGAAAGGAAACATGTTTAAAAAATCCATATAAATAGATACTTCTATTTGAAGGCAAAATAGATAATAATTGTGTTATTAAAGGAAGTGGCTTAATTTATACCACAATAAATGAACAGTACAAACCATCTGATATCTTCCTATTGGCCTATTAGGAATAATAATTATTGTAGTGCTCAATAAATACTGCCAACAAGTCATTATTCACATGTGAGTGAATGTTTGGCTAAATTCTAAAAAGTTGCTAGCAAGTTACTTATAAATAAATAAGCAAATTTTAAAATAATTAGTTTTCATTTGTCTAAATTAAAAATGAGGAACTAATTGAAAGTAAATATTCATGCCACGATGAAAGGGGAAGTAACCACTGTTGTTTGCTTGATCATTTCGAGTGTGGAGTTTAATTGTAGTAACGTTTAATGTTGTATAGGCCATTCATAGTCTTATTTTTCATGCTACGGAAGGAGTCGTCTTCTTTAGCTCGTCTGGTTCAGATTTCTTAAAACTTATTTTAAAAAAGAAAAGAAAAAAGGAACTATCAATAATACTTTCTACCAATAACATAAATTTGTACGTGAATCGAAAACTTTTTCCTCCTTTTAAATCAAAATTTACTTTTTAAAAAATCTACATAAAAAATACTCTTAGGTGCGTTTGATTGCTAATATTTTTCATGAAAAACGTGTTTTTTCACCAAATTTTTACTTTTGTTCTGTTTGATTGTCATTTTTTCATGAAAAATATTTTCCTACTTTTGATCACGTAATCATATTTTCCCAAAATTCGAGGAAAATATTTTGCTTAGAGGGAATTGGATTTTATTTTCTAGAAAATTCATTCGTTCATTCACTCTCTCATCTATCCACCAATAAAAAGTGAACAAGTATAATATTTTTTAAATTGAAAATTAAATCAATCAAACACATTTAATTGACAATTTTTATACAATTAAGTTATAAACAATTGAATTAACTAGAATTTATTTTCTTTCGATGCAAATTTTATACTTGCAATCAAAAGTACCCTTAGCATTGCTGTGTTGATGGCTTCTTTTTCCAATTTAAAACATAATGTTATTACACCCGAGGAAAATAGTGTAGCCCATCTAGCAAACACATCCACTGTGTAAATTTCACGTGAATGTTTCGATCCATCAATCCCAAACTATTTAAAAAAAAAAAAAATTGAAGAAGAAGAAAAAATTACTTTTATCTATTCCAACTTACGAAATAATAATATTTCAAAATGCGTTAAAATTCAAGTTATTTAATCATTTAAATAATCCTAAATTGTTGTTTAAGTGCTCATGTTTCAGCCACAAAATCTACAGGATTCTAATCTTAGTGCATAATTAATTACCCATTAACAAGTTCCACCAATTGACTGGTCAAGTACTGTAGTAAAAGGACAGAAAAGCTGCATTCTACTTTCATGGCACGGTCTTGAATTTTACGTCTCAAACAGCAAAATTATTATTATTATTATTATTATATTTGTTTTTTGTTTAATTTTGTCAAAAATAATTGAGCCCCACAAAAATGTAAATATGTATATAAGCAGTAAAATTAAATCTCCCATCCACCATCAATGCATTCAACCTAATCCTCTCAACCAGACAAATGAAATAGGTCATCCTATCAAGATTTTACAGTACTGAACATGGATAAAATCTTGATTCTAGCAATTTTTTGGTTCAGATTGATTGTTACTGAGGCTGCAGTAAGTGTAGGTGGCGGCATTGGCGTTGGAGTTGGAGGCAGTGGCGGCGGCGGCGGCGTTTGGGTGGGTGGAGGTATCAGCACCGGTCCAAATACTCCTCCAGCCGGTGCTCCACAAGTGTCAAAACTCAATGCGGCATACATTGCTCTTCAGGCCTGGAAATCTGCAATTACTGATGATCCAAATGGGATTTTGAAGACATGGGTTGGCTTAAATGTGTGTGCTTATAAAGGGGTTTTTTGTGCAGATTCTCAAGATTATATGGGAAGATCAACTGTCCAAGTTGTGGCTGCCATAGATCTGAACCATGCTGATCTTCAAGGAGTTCTTGTTAAACAACTCTCTGCACTTACAGATTTGTCTCTTTTTCATCTCAACAGTAACAGATTCAGTGGCACTGTCCCTGAATCTTTTAAAGAGTTCACATCTCTCACTGAATTAGATCTCAGTAACAACAGATTCTCAGGCCCTTTTCCTATTACAGTTCTTTACATTCCAAATCTCAAGTATTTAGACCTCAGATTCAACAGTTTTTCAGGGCCAGTTCCTGATGATCTCTTCAACAAACAACTTGATGCAATTTTCTTGAACAACAATCAATTTGATTCAGAACTTCCACAGAATTTAGGCAACTCTCCAGCTTCTGTCATCAATTTGGCTAACAACAAATTCTGTGGGAACATCCCTTTCAGTTTAGGCTACGTGGGTTCTCAAGTGAAGGAAATCTTGTTCCTAAATAATCAACTAACAGGTTGCATTCCAGAAGGTGTTGGATTATGGAGTGATTTACAAGTTCTTGATGTGAGTTCAAATTCATTGATGGGTCATTTGCCTGACTCCATATCATGTTTGAGCCAAATTGAAGTGTTGAATTTGGCCAACAACAAGCTCTCTGGGGAATTACCAGATTTGGTTTGTGAATTGAGAAGCTTATTGAATTTGACAGTGTCATCCAATTTCTTTTCTGGGTTTAGTCAAGATTGTGCCAACTTGAACATAGGATTTGACTTCTCATACAATTGTATTCCTGGGAAAGAGATGCAAATTTTTGGGGGGGCAAAACAGATTAGTATTGGCTGTCTATCATTAATTGAAAGAAGTAATGATGTAGACCTTCCCCATTTATTGGTTTTGCTTTCACAAAATTCTGTAATATTAGGCCTTCTGGATAAGATATGCCAGCCAAAAGTACTTGAAATGAATATATTATTATTTCTCTCAGTTCAGGATTTGTTGGATAATTATTTATTTATATCTTTACTTTTACGATGAGACAAGCTCTATTGTCCAGGTTTGCAGTGGTCTAAAACAATCCTGGCAAGCATATACGAAAAATAATAAAAGTTTTTCTAACGGTAGTATTGAAGTCAACTGTCACAATTTGGGATGGAAAAAGATGGAGGTACATGTTCCTGCTTCACAAGCCCTGTCACGTGAGAGAGGAGGTGGGGACAGGTTCCACCTTTTTTTTTAATAATGCATGTGGGCCCAATCCCTATAGTGAAGGACTGTGAGTCCCTTGTGAACCGAGCTCCTATCCGTGGAGCTCGGTGCATTTGTGATTAATTGTGATATTTTAGCCCTATTCTGAATTCTATTTAAAATTTTAATACATTTTGATTTTGATTTTTTTCAATTAAACATTTTTTAATAAAATAATATTATATTTAAATTAAAGATTTTTTTCTTATTTTTTAATCACAAATTCTCTCAAAAATTATTGTTCCAAAATATATTTTACCCAAATTTCTCATGTCAAATAGGGCTTATTTTAATTAATTAATAATTGCATTACTCGTCTCTAGGGCCAAAATGACCCACAAACTTCTTTTTAAATTAAAAAAAAAATGTAAATGCTTGTAAGTACAACACGGATCATGCCAAACCCAGAAAATTGTAGGCATTCCAAAAAAATATCATGCCATAGTGGAGAGAGTTCATTTTCATATACAGCACGACAAGATCGCTAATAGTTAGGTGTATGACCCCTTTTACTAAAGAGTGCACTAATAATGTGATTGTATGCAGATATTTGTGTAATATCCTATCCATAAGTGTGTGTGATTGCTAAATGTTCGGACATGTCGACTTAAGAATGAAAAGAAAGCTGCTTTGAGGCATGAAACCTCGAGGTCAAACTTGTAGTCCATAATTTTGGTAAAAAAGAGAGATCGTTTGAATGACTGTTGTTGGTTTCGAGAGATTATCGAACTGTGTTTTTTAGCCAAAAAAATAAATAAATAAAAAAAAAGAGATTTTGGATCATAGATCGTGCCGACAAGCAAGCGAAAACTGATGAAGAAAGTTTTAGGGATGATAGATGAGAATGGCGACGTTGTGCGAATGGGTCTATGTGCTTCGTCAAGTTTGTTTCATGGAGCACAAATTGCACAACACAATGATGAAGATTATGTTGTTGCTTAAATATGTTTAATGGCGTTGCCTAAAATGCCGTCCATCCAAAGAATTAATGCTTGTAGGGTACATAATGAAGGTTGGCGTCAAATACGGTATGTACAAGTTACTGTGGATAGATGTGTTAGGAAGCACCATGTGGATGCCGTTCCATGAGATGATAGTGTTGTTATTATTCTTGCAATCAAAGGAATGTGTCTTGATTTGAAGCTCACTTCATGCTACAAAGGCATAAGCAAATTCGAATGGAGGAGAATGTCCTGCACCAAAGGTGCTCCTCTTTCCATGCGACTCGATGAGTCATGAACAGCTGGGCTTATTGGCCTATTTTACTAGAGCACACTAAGAGCCTGTTTGAGAGGGATTTTGAGAATTGATTTTTTGATCGTTAGGAAAAAAGTTAGGTCCACCTGTGAGAGAAGAAGTCAAATATGGCGGCTGAAATAGTGAAATAACGATCAAAAAATCAATTTTTTGAGAGAAAAAATCACTCCTAAACAGACCCTAATTATGTGATCATATGCAGGTTTTTTGTCTAACATTCTCCCCATAGGCATGTGTGGGTGCTAATTATTCGAGCTTGCTGGCCTAAGAATGAGGAGAATGATGCCTTGAGATATTTATCCTCGGGAAGCTAAACTTGTGGTCCGTAATTCATGGGTTGACCTGAAACAAGCTGCATCAAAATTGGCTGGCAAAATATAACATGCACCTCTAATCAATGGAGTAGGCTGAGCCGATCTATATATAAGCTATGGAACCTTGATGAGTGATGTGATATGGTGACGTGCTTGTTTTGCAGTACTTATAAGTTATGGATTATATGAAATTTTTAGATTATTAAATGAGTTGTTAAAAAATATTTATTTGATCAACTTTAACTAAAGTTTAAGCTTTGGTGAGCTACTTGAGTGTATCCATTTTACATTTGATCAGATCAAATCAAATCAAACCAAATTAGAACAAACCAAAAAAATAATTGTTCTGGTTCTTAGAATTGAGAATTAATTGATTCTGATTTTGGTTTGGTTCTAGTTCTAATTCTAGTTCTAAAACCAAGAACCAAACTCATTTTTTAAATTTTATTACCATTTTTATCTATATATATTCACAAATTAGTGAATCACAATTCACATCCAAAAAATTCAAAATTCATTTGAGAATCAGGATAAAAAGGCCATGTTACCTTTGATTTCTGATTTCTTATTGTGGAAACTAGAGACCATTCATTTTTCATTCTCTCTTACTTTTAATTGATACACCGATTCTCACATGGATATCAACATATATCGCCTGCCATCTACTATCACGCTTAGCCACCACAGCCCATGGATTTCTGAAATTGAAGCCTCAACATTCGATTTTTTCTTTCCCAAATGTTCTTTCTATTTTTTTCTCAATCAATAATGTAATCAGAACTAAACCAAATCAAACCAAAACCAAATGGTTCGGTTCCAGTATGGTTTCATATTTAAAAATAAATTTTAAAAAAACATTTAATTTCATTATCCAAAAAATGGTTCATAGTTTGATTCTTTTCTCTTGAAATTAGAATCAAATGGAACAATGTCTACCTCTAATTTCTTTTTGGCAAAATCAACTTGATAACGTGGGTGCTTGCTTCAAGATGTTGCGTATTTACCTTTGTTTAGGTTTCATTAAAATAAGATTTTGGAGGTAATGTGTTTTAGATCATACTAGATGTACTTAATTTTTTTTACCTAATGCTTTACATACACTCAGAATAGGGGTGTGGGGACCACATGTTGAGATTATTTTATTCATGTGGGGTCCACGTGCTTGTGAAAATAGGTAAACCATTTGATAAACTAAATTATATACACTTAGAATTATCCATGTGTTTTAAGATAGTAATTTTTTTGAAAAATGGGTGGTTAAAAAATAAGGAAAATTTTTGATTTTACGTGTAATATTATTTTATGAAAGAATGTGTGGTTGAAATTAAAAAAAAAAAAAATGGAGCCCAAAGAATGAGTAATGAGTGAGTCTGTGACATCGGATGCCTGGCCATATTAAGTCAATGTTTGATTTTGACAAAATTTAGATTTTTTTTTATATAGATTTTTATAAAGTTGATAAAATACGTGATTGAAAGTTAATAAAAGTTCTAGGTCCTTTAATATGTGTGATTATTAAAAAATAGACAATAATTTTGAAAATTTTAATATTTTTTAAGATCTCTCTAAGCTCATGTTTCATGGTCATTATAAAGAGAAATTGGGGAAAAATAATGTTTTGAATTGTGATTTTTTAAGATTGTGTAATTAAAAAATAGGAAAATATTTTGAATTTACGTGTAAAATATTTTAATGTGTGATTGAAAATGAGTATAAAAAATAATAATTTTAGCCTCTATTTAACAGTCTTTTTTTGAAATAATAATTTTTAAACAGTGACTTGATTCGAAGAGAGTAAAACAGGACCCAAATTTCATTTCCCATTCGTCCTGTCTCGTGACATTTTCCAAAATTGGACATCAATTAAATTTCCATACCTACCCAAGCCTACGACTTTGTCAGTTGTCGTCAAACTCTAACCACCTCTCTCCTCTTCTTCCACTCTCAAAATCTAACCCATATCACTTAGGCACTGAGCCACGGTCCATGGTTTTGCAATCTCAACCCACGATTATTTCGTTTGAAAAAAATCTTTGTATTTAAAATTCGAAATTCCATTTTAAAATGTCAACTTGTCTATATTTTCATCTTTATTTGACTTGAGATTAAATCCCTTAACATGTCTCACAAGATAGTGGCTCGTTTGAACAGACCAATCTTGAAATCTGGATGCTACCTATAGGATACTCCGCTAGTAGCTCATCATCCGTACTAGGACTGCCTTTTCGCACAACCTCCATGCACACTTTTTATATGCAAAACTTAGCATAGAGGTGAAAGCGGCTCATTTATTAAGTCTTAATTGAATCAAATCCCTCGTTGGAGCTTAATGGACTTTGATACCGTATTAAAACTTAAGGTTCCATCTTAAACGGTCAATAGAAATAGTTCAAGATCTTATAAGTTGGTCCATATTTCATCTTTATTGATGTGTCCCTTAACACTTTGCAACTTTGTTTTTCTCCCCCACAATAAAAGTTTGTCTGATCCGACCACTGGGTATAAGTTCACATCATATATTCTTTAAATCAAGTCTTTCGTCCTCTGCAGCAATAATGGCTCACTGTTCTTGAATAAAGACAACATGTGAATATACAGTAGCAAGATTCACAGCATTTTTTTGTCATGAAAATATCACAAAAAGGGTCTTAAAAGTGTTACAGGAGCAGCCGTCGCTTCTGAGCATCAATGAAGCAATGAAATTACAATTTCACATTACAGAATTCTTCAACTTTATACCTGCAGTATTGTGCAATGTACATTGGATTTTGGAGTTTGAAAGATCGTTTAGCTACTGCAGAATTCCCGTGAATTTTGTAACCTTGTCTTTTAACTGCTTCCTCCTCTCCGATTTATAGATGGTTGCTGGTTTACCATGATCAGAATTTTGCCTATTTCATCCACAAAATATCATAAATCAGTCATTCATCTTCTTGTAATTGTTTCATATATTAGTATACACCAAAGCTCACCAAAAACAGTAGGTACCAAATACCAATTCTGCACGTTTGGTACACAATACTGGATGAGATTAGACAGTAATAATGTAGAAAATGAACTAGTAGGAACTCATGAGATCATTGTGTTACCTTAAGATAAGCCTTTCCCAGTTGCTGTATCCAGCATAATTCAGATTACGTGCTGTAGCATTCCTTTGAGATTCAGACCGACCAGTCAATAAAATTATCTTAAACCCCAGTTCCTGAAGCTCCTTGTACAACCTTAAAACGTGCAGGCATAGCTAGTGCCTCGTCCATATCCAGCCAGTTTTTTAAAGAAACTTCATCAAAGATCTCTGATCTGTGTCCAAATGCAATCAATAAGAAACCGTGAGTAGCATGTATCAGATATGTCAGTAGCTAATAAGCATTAGCAAAATTAATAGCTCAATTCCTCACAAGAGTAGAAAAGCATATGAACCAAATTCTAGTTACATGGGGAGCTGATTAACTTAAGAACATGTTTGGTTGTGCTTAAAAGTGAGTCAAAGTTAATTCCAAGCTGCTTATTTTGCCAAGCTGTTTATGCTAAAGATACATTTCTAGGAAGTAACTCTGAACTCACTATCTCGAAAAGTAATTTTAAGTGCAAAACATGTTAATTTGGAAATGGGCAACTAACCCTGATCTAAAGCACGTCTCCAAAAAATTAAAAAGAACTTCTCCAGCCTTAGATATGCAATATGGAAACCGCCAATATTATAAAATTTAACTGGAATACTAAGATAAAACCACCACATATCGTACTTAAATAAAACATGCAAAAACAACTGCAAGTGATAGAAAATTTTTCTCAATCAAAAAATGGGATGAACATAGAGAAAAAAATGATCGAAAATGGGATTGACAATGGAATGGCATTGTGAGTATGGAAAGTTGGGTTATTTTAATAGAAAATTTACAATGCTTAAAGAATTTCCATTAATAGTTATGGCAAACGGAGAAGAATTTCTATGATCACCACAGAGAAGACTATTAAAACCCACAA